TGTACCAGGTGTACTGTAAGTTTCTAAAGGGCAACAACCAAGACACCACTCCCCTCCAGTCTTCACATCACAACCAGAGCATCTTTCAGGAACAGAGACGATGACCCTCCTTGAGTCACACCCTCCAATGGTTACACATCACAAGTAGGGTCAAGATCAAACTCCCACAGCCAGGACCACCTATGAAAATGCAGGGCTCCTTGTTCAAAAATTATTAAGAATCTCAAGATGGCGGCAGCAGACCACTGACCCAAGTATGAGCTCCCCCGAGCCCAGGGCCTTGAGTGACTGTGCCGGCCTCACGCCCATGAAGCCAGCCCCACCCGTTTGTAAGTCCCTCATATTAGCGCTGTCGCTCAGTCATGTCCGACTCTGTGATCCCATGGACTGTAGCCCACCAGGCTCCTCTGTCCCTGGGATTCTCCAGGCAAGAATACTGGAAATTCCACAGTGATAAGAGAACAGACTATGATTTCAATACCTTTAGACCATGAAATTTTTGCACCTTGTTTCTCTTCTTGAACAATAAACACGTCTCAAAACTTCTCTATGAAGGTAATTACTCATCCGACCAACCAGAACTCAAATGACTCTTGAAATTCTCACTAGATAGCTCTGCATCGGTAGGTTTGAGGTTTTTGTTGACTCCTCATCTCTAAATTTCATAATTAGAGCCCTTTCTACATTCCCTAACACTGCTACTCCACAATGCTTAGTACCTATTTTATTAATATATTCCATGCAAACAAATGAAAATGTGTCCTTAGCTAAGGGTCTTAAAATCCTCAAGATAAGATGAACAGAAACCAAACCAAGGTGAGAAAGGGAGGGACCTACTTCTAAATTCTCTTTTCTGTCTAGAGGAAGTTAGCTATTTCTGTTGCTATAACTCCAGCTCAGAAGACAGTCCAAAATGCACACATACGGGAAAGAAACTATTTTAGTTAACTAGCACTAAAATGCCGGTAAGTGTCACAAAACACAATCGTTTTCCATTTGCAGCTGAACACTCTTTAGGAAAAACAAGCTGTCAAAGACACGGGCATATGGAGGGCAGTTCCACAGTCCATCAGTATCAATGGTTATTGCCAACAGGATGCTAGAAGAGCTTGATTCCTGGAACTGAGTACCGCTGTCAAACTGCTTGAGATTTTTTTCTTCTATCTGCAAAACAGAGTATACACTCAGATATGGTCCTTAAATTCTATTTAAAGAGATACTCAAGGAAGTTTAGATCCAGGACTTTGCAATACTGTGACAAAATTAATTCATTGATATTGATGAGATTGATGGTTCAAAATATTATACCCTCATGAATATCTGTTGGAGAAAATAATATATCAGTCTTAAAATAATTTGCTTTGAACTATCACAAGCTTTGATAATGTCTAATTTATTCTAAACAGTCAGAGCTCCCTCATCTCTCTACCATGGTGTCACTAGAGCTGCTTTTTGGTCTTGATGAGCTCTTTAGAAGCTCTTTGCTAAAAGGAAAGAGTTGGCAACAGAAAGGGTCTCCTATTAGCTTCCAGCAAAATGAGTGAACAGCAGGGTTCCCAGGGAACCAGCCATCAATCAAGGAAGAGAACCCTTCCGACGTGGGAAGAGAAAGCTCCGGGCTGAGGGAGAATTCAGAACTGCTGGAGCAGAGGCCGCAGAATCTGCGCTGCTGCTTCTCCATCCCGGGGCCCTGCAGGTTAGAGCCCCCTTCCGACCTCCACATTCTTACCTGCGTGAACACACACGTGGCCCCAGAATCCTTCTCAACACTCTAAGGAAGCACAACTATGGTCTCGAGCTGGTCCTCAAGATCAGATAGACTTCCCACGCTTGGAGAAGAGATTGAGCATGGTCTCTTTTCCCCATGAATGCATGAAGGTACAGGGCTCAGGAAATACCATCATAGTGTGGGTAATCTCGACAACGGTGGGTCCAGCACCACTGGGAACAGCTGAAGGGCCAGGGCTAGAGGAGTGCACACCGACAGGGACAAAGGGGACACATCAGTGAGAACCATTCCACCTCCTCCTGCACTGGGTCAGCCCTGCACACAAAAGGAAGGACTCCAGCCCCGTTTTCAGGGCAAAACAAAAATTATAACCGAGCACCAGACCCCACATCAGCTATTTACAGCATGAACTCAAGACTCAAAAATGCCCGGCGAGGTGTTTATGACAACACTCTCCAGGGACGTAAATGGAAATTACTAAAATTATAGGTGACTTGGCTATTTAGGGGCAGTTACACACATTTCTAAATTGGAATGATGCTTGGCTGGGTGGAAGCCTTCAACATTCCACAGCCCTTCTTAAAGCCACATAATATTAAAGACGGTTTGAGCCTGAGTACATGAAGCCAGATCACGTGTTGATATTTGCAGACCTGGGATTCTTACACAAGATCATACTCTGTGAGTCTTGGCTGTTCATGGGTCCTTGTGTTTGAATATTTGCCCTGGTGAAGTAGCTGTGACATTTAGACCAGAAACCAAATGTTTATTTGTGGAATTTTGCCTTGCCCACACTTTACCAAAATAACAAGAAAACTAGCCTTTTCCTATGTCTGAACTGCGTCTTCTTCCCATCACATTCTTGTAATCCTGGGAACATACGTTTAAGGAAAAGGACTCCACATTCACACATTCCTCAAAAAAAATACAACAAATTATAATTCATGGAAAAAGTCGGCAAGACTTTTCCCGAAACATACAACAAATAAGAGACATGTGGAATTTATGTTTTTTCTCACCATTGTCTAAAAATGATGACCACCAACACTTGATTGCTCTAATTGCTAAGGGTTTGGTGGCACTTATATATCTTTGTTTCCATTAGAAGCAAGGAGAACGACAAAACCTACAATTTGATGTCTAAAATGATATACTGGGACTACGAAAATAACACTAGGACAAGCTTATCATGTTTATGTCAATCCTACTAGCATTTTGAGATGTTTTGTGAGGTTGACTAAACCAAGAATTTCTGGGGAAAAAACTTAAAGAGAGAGAGAAATAGACTTGGGGTTAGTAGACAGCGGTTAGGATGGAGCAAAGAGAACTCAGGCAGAAAAAGATGCTAATGAGAGAGAGGTAGGCATGCAAGATGCAAGAAGCGAGAAACAGGAGAGAAGAGACTTCCTTCCCCCACCCCCATCCCACCCCCAGTAATTTCATCTTCCCATTTCAGAGTTTCTAGATCAAAGGATTCAAAGCTAGCATGCTCTCTACATCATATCAAATTGAATTCCAGATGGTTAACTGAAACTTAAGAAGTCACGAACTGAATTAGAAGAAATTATAAGTAAATAATCCTGTGGTGAGAAAGAGCTTTCCTGGTATAATTCCAAAGAAATAAATCATAATGGAGACATCTACACAGTTCACCCTCTGAACATTAAAAACTATAAGCAAAATGTAAACACAAGTGGCATATAAAGAATGTATGTTCTGTATATGTATGGCTAAGTCTCTTTGCTGTTCACCTGAAACTACCAGAACATTGTTAATCACCTATACTCCAATACAAAATAAAAAGTTTGAAGTTTTTTAAAAAAGACTATATATTCTTGGGAATTCTCTGGCAGTCCAGTGGTTAGGACTCAGCATTTTCACCGCCTGGGGCCCTGGTTCTAAGACCCTACAAACCGCAGAGCAAGTGCAGCCAGAAAAAAAGAATATATATATATATGTTCAGTACATAGGATAAAAGTGTGTGTCACATGATATACAGGGAACTCTTAAAAACAAATGAAGAAAAGATAAATCCTTGGGGGAAACAGGCAAATAACAAGGACAAGCAATTGACCAAAGAAAGTCAAGGACCCAGTAAACAATGTCCTACATGCCATGATTTTCCAAAGATGAGATGTGAAAGCAATAGGACCACTTTTCTGTGATGGGAAAGGCATAGAAAGTCAGGCCCTCTCATGGGCTGGTGGTAGGGATGCTAAGTAACACATACTCTCAGGAATGCCATTTGACAAACTACCATAAAAGCCTTTCCCGATGTGTGCCTGAGTTCTGATGTGATGATTACATATCTAGGAACTTATCTTAAGGAAAATATTAAAGATGTTTGCATCTTTGCAGACATTTCACTAACAAGATTCAGTCATGGCTACATTTTAATAAAGAAAAGTTCCTTTTATAAAGAGGAATTCCCTGGAAGTCCAGTGGTTTAGGACTCCATGCTTTCACTGCCAAGGGCACAGGTTCAATCCCATCCCTAGTCAGGGAACTAAGATCCCACAAGCTGCACAGTGGAGCAAAAAGAGGGAAAAAAATTTATTAAAAAATAAATTAAAAAAGAAGAGTCAGCCACAATAAAAATATCCAATAATGGGGGATGGGACATAAACCACTCTAAAAACTCAAGACAATGGAATATTAAAAAGCCATCAAAATGATGCTGTGGAAAGGGATTAAATGACATGGAAAGAGAGTATACATTTTCAAGTGGAAAAAGCATAAATGAGTTGAGGTGATCAAGGCTCTGGGGATGGAGTCAGTCACATAGTAAGTTTCAGCTTTATAAGGGCTACTTTATTCGGAATTCCATTTCTGAATGGAAAATGTGCACAAAATCACAAAATATATGTATATCGAAGCATCTAGTTAGTTTAGAAGTATTAGAGATTTTTATTTTCCTCTTTTGTTCATCTGTACTTTCTCTTTTTATCAAAGTATAGTTGACTTACAGAATTATATTAGCTTCAGGTGTATGACAGTGATTCAAGATTTTTTCAGATTATAATCCCTTTAAAGTGACTAAAACATAAAGGCTGTATTTCCCTGTGTTTATGTATTTTATACATAATAGTTTGTACCTCTTAATCCCCTACCCTTCTCTTGCTCCTCCCCCCCCCCTTTGCCTACTTGTAACAACTAGTTTATTCTCTGTGAGTCTGTTTCTGTTTTATTAATTTCATTGTTTGTCTTATTTTTCAGATTCCACATATAAATTATAACATAGTGAAATAAATCAGCCATAGAAAGGCAAATATTCTGTTATCCCTTGTCTGTATTTTCTGACATTTCCACAAGTGGTGTTTATTGTTTATACAGACACTGAGGTAAAGTTTTTAAAAATTATGCTGTGTATTAACAGCTAATGACAGAAACCCATTTGAATAAGGAAATGAGATTACCAATCAATGTTATTAATCACGTATTTAAATATAAGCATTACATTATACATATTTGTAAATAAACATAAATACTGCATATTACCTATATATGCAAATAAATTTTATATGTACATATAATAGTAAAAGGATTGGAAACATGTACCATAAAATGCTAACAAGCTTCAGTGATTATTTCTGGGTGTTGTGAAAATAAGCAATTTTCAGGGATTCTGTGTGTGTGTGTTCCCTATTTTCCAAAACAGATGTTCAGCAAATGTTTTTCATTTGTAATAAACAAAAAGTTTTTTTAAAAAATACACAACCCCTGAGATAAGGCAAGACCTCCTACAATGTAAGTGATGTCCCGTTTACCGGTCCATCCAGCATCAGCACCTTTTTGTCACCTTTTTGGACCCTCCGCACTCACTCACAGGTGAGCTGAGCAAGTCCGGCTGATTCATTGAACCACATTTGGCATTTCTCCCCTCTTGGTTTCCACGGCCATCTCTCTAATTCAGACTCTCCTTGCCTAGTCAAGGCTTTCACAAGGACATGTCCCAACTCAGAGATGTCCACTGTTCCCCCAACCAACATGGAATTGAAACCATCCCCCAACACTTCCAGGCCTCTCACCCATCCTATTTCTTCATACACACCCTCCATTAGGAATCACAGCCAAACTGTCTCCTTACTATTGTCCAAATGCACTTTTTCCAGCTTCCATTTTGCTTGAAGGACCCAGATAACCACCTTCCCAGAAACCTCTCTCCTCTCAAAACCCACCTGCCAGGACAGGATCTCTGTCCCCACGGCCTCAGAGGAAATACACTTCTCCTTTCCAGCCCATTCATATTACACAGAATAACAGGAATAATACAAATAACTGTTCTTACCTAGTCTGTTACACTGTATTTCTCTAGCCCAGAAGCCTAGTAAATCATAGGGAATGAAGGTTTGGACGCAAAGAAAGCGTTCTCCAAGACAGCACCCCAGTACGCGTCTATAAATACGATCCTTTAATAAGTGAACAGATCTTCCCTTGCATAAGTGCGGGCACAGCGCCCTGGTCCCGCCTGGTCCCGGGAGCACCACGTCTGGTCCAGGGAGAGCCCCTAGCAGAAGCCCACCAGGCGCAGGGTGCTGGGGAAGCTTCTGCGCATGCTCATGCACTTGTCCTGGTCGATGTATAGAGAGTTGGCCTTGACCGCCAGATCATGCTCCAGCGTGGCCTTGGTGTGGGCCAGCGACTGCAGTGTGTCCTCTGCGTCCCTCAGGCGCTGCTGCAGGGTCTGGATGGTGTCGTCCACCTCGTACACCTCATTCACCAGCCTGCATGGGGAAGAGGTGCCCATTAGGTTAGCAGAGGTCAGGCTGGTCACTGCTCCGCCAGGGGCACGTGTGCTTCCTGCATTCCCACCGCTCACCCCAACCTCAGAACTACTTCATATAGCACAGGAACAGTATCGGTGCGCAGTTGCTTGAGACCAGGAGCGCCCCTGTGGTCCATAACCAGAATCCAAAAGGCTGGGGGACACCAGCGAGTTTTCATGCTCGCATTGGTCATACACACGCGCATATTGAAAGCTGTATTTTTTTTAAAAGGCCAACTTTTAAACTTTTGATTTTCTTTTAAATAATAAAGATTTGGGGAAACCGAAACAGCTTGTCATACATTGACGTTATCATTAAAAATGGTTTGCATAGTTAGGAAGAGGGGGACACCCGATTGTATTCAGTGGCTAGAATTCAGCCCAATCTGTTAACTATGGGGGAGGGGTTAGTTAATGGGGTACTTCTCCAAATATGATGCCCCTCCCCCCACCAATGCCCCAGAGTTCCAGAGTAAACACGGAAATGTCAAAAACCTAAGAGAATATGAAAATGACAATGCATGAAATCAGCTATATGAGCCACGAAACAAGTTGCACTTCTGATTGTGCTGCTGATGAAAAACATGACACATTTTCCCTTAAGACAGAAAGGAAAAAAGACATGATTTTGAATTAAAAAAAAAGAAATCTAGCATCTCCCTCTCAAATTATTTTAATCCATATTGTTTTCATCTTCATTTCTTTAATTATCAGTGAACCTTTCCTCAATGTCTATTGGGCATTTGCAATTCTGCAAAAACAATTGGGCAACTGATTTCCCTAATTTGTTTTTGACTTTTAATTAGCTTATGATATTTTTGTTAAAAGTAAGATTTCAATTTTTAGTAAGCTGTCTTTCTTTTTCTTTGTGATGTCTTCTATTGTTTTTATATTTAGAAACCTTTTCTCTTCCCAAAGAACAATGAAGCAAGGACTCCTTTACAGTCTGATCTGACCAATAATATCCAAAGGATATGACCACATGGTCAATCAAGAGAAAGAATATGAAACAGGTTACAAAATGACAATAATGATGATAATTAATCTATTGACTGCATTAGTTTATGTGTATATATACACCCATGCTCAGTCTCTCAGTTGTGTCTGACTCTGTGACTCCATGAACTATAGCCCACCAGGCTCCTCTGTCCATGGAATTTTTCAGGCAAAATACTGGAGTGGGTTGCCATTTCCTCATCCAGGGGATCTTCCCAACCCAGGGATCAAACCCACGTCTCCTGTGTCTCCTGAATTGGCAGACGTTTTCTTTACCACTGAGCCACCTGGGAAGCCAGTGAAAACATCAACTCCAAATTCATCAAATTTTGACCAGCAATTGAAAGCTAAAGTTTTCCTTTTTTGGAGGTTCATTTATCAGGAGACTGGAGTGCATGAAATTAACTAAAATGTACCATAATCTAAAGAGAAGAGTGACAGTGAACAAATAGGGATGCGGACATCCCTGGAGCTAGAAAATGATCTCATGATCATAGAAAAATATTTAGACCATGTTTAAATCATTATACCAAGGCCATCTTATAGCTCCATAGAACTTTGCAACTGAAGAATAAATGTGAGAGGTCATCAAGCCAAGCTTCCTTGTTTTACAGTTGAAGAAACTAAACCCCAGGGACTGATGAACTGCCCTCCCTACGGGCACACATCCATGTTTATACACAGCATGGTCATCCAGGAAGATGGAAGGAAATCAGGGGCCTTGACAACCATAATAAAGAACTGGCCATTTCCTGCCCGACCCGCTCAGCACCCAGAAGCAGAGAGCAGGGAAGCTGGCCTCTGCATTCTCTCCTGCTCATGAATTTGAACAAAGTGAAGAGTTTGACATAAAAGGATAAAGGAATGATTTCTTCATTGTGTTAACTTGTGTTGAATAATATTATGTGAGAACAAGAGGAAATAACATCAATGTCTGATGATAACAGACACCATAGCTAGATGATGGGGTACTACACAGCCATACCTTTTATAAAAGAATTTGTTCTTGCCTTGGGATTCCCTGGTGGCTCAGTGGGTGAAGAATCAGCTTGCAATGCAGGAGACGTGGGTCCTATCCCTGGGTCAGGAAGATTCCCTGGAGGAGGGCATGGCAACCCTTGTCTAGAAACCTATGGACAGAGGAGCCTGTCGGGCTACAGTCCATGGGGTCCCAAAGAGGTGGACACGACTGAAGTGACTGAGCATGCATGCGCATGGGGAAAGAGACTCAGAATATAATTTAATATTGGTTGAAAACATTAAAGCCCCCAAGCCCCAGGTTGGGGGGCACTGCAAAGCACCCCCAAAAGGCTCATGCAAGCAACAACAAGCCGGTGCACACCCACACTGTGACTTCATCTCAGAACCTGACCTGTTTTCTTATGTTGCAATGGGGGAGGGGAGGAATTAAACTTTTGTGCCAAAGTTTCCTTTGGTCTAAAATCAGTAAATGCAGTATCTGAGAACAGAGCTAAAAGCATATTTTTTTGTTGTTGTTAAGGTCAAGTTGGATTTAAAAAGTTAAGTTTCTTTTTTGAAGATCCCAGGGTTTACAATACCACTAGCAAAGAAACAGGTCTGCAGAGAGACTGTTGGATAGGGCTGGGGGTAGGATTTACGAGGGCTCGTTGTTTATAATCACACCGGCCTGCTTCTCGTCTGGCATCCTTCACTGAGCTGTTTTCACTGCTTCAAAAGGAACCCTGAACCCGAAGGTAGGGACGGAGCAGGATTATATGAATCTTTACTCCTCCAAGCCAAATATGTTAGTCTAGTGGGAAATTTATCTGTGAGAGATCTTCTGAAGAAAGACACATTAAAATATCAATTTCTTAAAAGGAATACAATTTCTTAAAAAGATACTTAGAATGCAGGCAGCTAGCATCCTTGTTTTCCTATTGCTTTGTGAAGGCAGCACAGAGGTATTACGCCTCCCTCAACTTGCACCACTACAAATACATTTTTCCTCCTCTTTCCAGGCCACGTTCCCCTCTCAGTTTCCTTATTTTTTTGGCAGACTGCAGAGTGCCATTCCGCTGGAACCACTCCTTCTGGGGGAAATCACAGAACTGAAAAACAGCTTGCATTCAAATACAAATAAAACTACCATCGTTTGAAAAAAAAAAATCAAGATGAAGTACAGCAGAGCCTGGTCTGGCCTGCCACCAAGGATGCCAAGAATGTTTAGAATTGCTCTTGAAAGGACCCATTTAGAAAAACTTCAAATGCAAAGCAAAGTCTTGAAATGAAAACAGCACTTCTTCTCTGTCCCCACTCCCCTGAGTTCAGGGTTCTTATGTTTTCCTCATCCAGACAGCCAAAGGCTGCTTTCAGAATGCTCGATTAAAAAAGAAAAATAATCCCCTCCCTCAATAATCATCCTCAATTCCGCAGTTGTTCCTCTGGGACCATATTTTTGGCAACGACATTTTAACAAGAAATCTTTATGGAAACAAAAGCAGGTTTTGTCCTGAAGTTGGTAAAGGAGCAGAGGAAACAGACACACTACAGGGTCGCCAGGAAGTAAAGAAAAATAAAAAGCAAATTCTGCTCAGCCGGGAAGGGGGAGAAAAGAGGAAAACGCATTCAGCATCTTAGAAGTGGCTGTAAACACCTCATTGTCTGATAACTGCAACGTCAAATTTGACCATGACCCAAAACACTTCCAGAAAGCAACCCTGTGCTGGTCTGATGGCAGCCTGGACAATTTCTCTCCCCCCTCTCCCCTACTTTCGATGACTTTGCAGAAATTGTCAGAGCATGAAACTGCAGCTCAGCTTTTCCTAATAATATTTGCATAAAACCACAATTCATGATCTAATCTAACTGGCCAAATGGGTGTGACCCCACTCACTACCAGGTTCCTGTAATAAACAGACACTTCCGACTGGCTGCCTCCAGAGTAGAGCCCATTTATCCTCTGAGATGGGCTGTGTGTGAGTAGGGGTTCTGTGGAACCCACTTGGAGAAAGGTGGCCTGGGTGGGTGGCCTCCTCCAAGGGATGGCCGGACGACAGCTCCACTGAGAGAAACGCAGCTGCTGCGGGAGATGAAGGCCAGCGGCATGTGGTCTAGAGCCCGTCTCTCAGCATCCAACATAGACAACATGCGTGGAGGGGGCTCTGCAGTGATGCTTCCTCTGTGACCCTCAGGTTCATCTCCGAGAGCCAGATGTAGCCTGTGCTCAGCTACACCATCCCACGGCGCATCCAGAAGCCAGAGGAGCTCAGGCCCAGGACGGGGGGTGCCAGGGGTCCCACCCAACGAAAAAGAAGCAGAAGCAAATCGCCAACTTGGCTGAATGGAGCTCAGCAGCAGACAGACAAGGATTCTAACTATCCTATCAGCAGGTGCCAGCCAGGAGACGTCCCTCGGCCCACATCTGCCTCAGTTTCCTTATTTATAAAGTGAAGCTCATGCAAGAGGTAAAGTATGCAGGACAGCGCCCAGCACAGAATAAGATCAATAATTCACAATGGCCCTGGTGACTGTCAGACTTCCCTGGTGCCTCAGACAGTACAGTGCCTGCCTGCAGTGCAGGAGGCCTGGGTTCAATCCCTGGGTCAGGAAGATCCCCTGGAGAAAGAAATGGTGACTCACCCAAGTATTCTTGTCTGGAGAATTCCATGGACAGAGGAGCCTGGTGGGCTACAGTCCAGGGGGGTGCAAAGAGTCAGACTTGACTGGGAGACTAATACTTTCATGGTGATTGCCAGCATCACCACCTTTATCATCTTCATTATTTCTGGCTTCACAAAGACCCCCCATTGGACGTACGTATACCTATGGCTGATTCACATTGACGTTTGACAGAAAACAACAAAATTCTATAAAGCTATTATCCTTCAATTTAAAAATAAACAACAACAACAAAAAGATGCCCCTCCTTCCTTCCCTCCAGGAAACACACACAGCCTCATCCCCCTACTTATTCCCTGGGTACGAGCTCAGAGTCCTTTCGTCCCTAGATAGAAGGGAACTCTATCGTGGAGCAGGCAGACGACAAGGCCAGTGGCCTCTCCCCTCTGCACAAGTTCAAGTTCCCCATCGCTCCTCCAGTTGCTATAAATTTGACTCGCTTCTACACAAATTGTTTCAAGACCTAAGCAGAGCCATGATGAAACCCAGAAAGAGGCAGACAGGCTGGTACTGAGAAATTGGAAATGAAGCCAGAATTGGGGTGAGGGTGGCCAAGTCCACACAAGGCCATCTAAAAGGAATCTTCCAGGTTAAAATGATAAGAATAAAATACACCTAGTGTCCAGCAGATGCAGTATGGAGTCAGCTCCCTCCCACTGAGCACACATGGGAGATGCTTGATGAAGACCAGCTGCTTTCAATTTCTACTGAGAACAAGAACAAACTGAAATGAGCTGAGATGAATCCTAAGGATGCTCTGACGGAGAAGGCAATGGCACCCCACTCCAGTACTTTTGCCTGGAAAATCCCATGGGCGGAGGAGCCTGGTAGGCTGCAGTCCACAGGGTCGCGGAGAGTCGGACACGACTAAGTGACTTCACTTTCACTTTTCACTTTCATGCATTGGAGAAGGAAATGGCAACCCACTCCAGTGTTCTTGCCTGGAGAATCCCAGGAATGGGGGAGTCTGGTGGGCTGCCATCTATGGGGTCGCACAGAGTCGGACACAACTGAAGCGACTTAGCAGCAGCAGCAGCAGCAAGGATTCTCTGAAGGACCAGAGCAGGTATTAGCTGCCCAAAGAGGTGAAAGAGAGCAGCGGTGGGAGCAGACAGATGGGGTCTGGGGAGCTGGTGCCCAAAGTCCTTTTTCTGATGAGTCCAGGGGACTGAGAAGCTCACAGCAGCCAACCTCTGAGCTGCTTCCAAGACAGGAACCTGGAAACCCTGGAAACTCCAGGGAGGTGTAAAGGAACCCAGCGCCTCCTCCACCCGCTGAAGGAGGCTAAATGTTTGTTATCACTTTTCTTGTATGTAGTGTTGATGTCATTTCCTTTTTTCTCTAACCGTGGTAAAATATACATAACACAGAATTTACCATCTCAGCTCTTAAGTTCATGGCATTAGTACCTTCACAATCTTGTGCATCCATCACCATCTTCTATACTTCAAGAACGTATCATCCCAAGCTGCAAATTCTAATGCCATTACTGACACTTTAAAGAAGACTCCTGTCAAAGCTATGGTCTTTCAAGTAGTCATGTATGGATATAAGAGTTGGACCATAAAGAAGGCTAGACACTGAAGAATTCATGCTTTTGAACTGTGGTGCTGGAGAGGACTCTTGAGAGTCCCTTGGACTGCAAGGAGATCAAATCAGTCAATCCTAAGGGAAATCAACCCTGAATACTCATTGGAAGGATTGATACTGAAGCTGAATCTCCAACACTTTGACCACCTGATGTAAACAGCCAACTCATTGGAAAATATCCTGATGTTGGGAAAGATTGAAGGCAAAAGGAGAAGAGGGTGGCAGAGGACGAGCTGGTTGGAGAGCATCACCAATTCAATGGACATGAACTTGAAACCTCCAGGAGATGGTGAGGGACAGGGATGCCTGCCCTGCTACAGTTCACGGGGTCACAGAAAGTTGGACACAATTGAGTGACTGAACAACAATGACAACAAAACAGCTCCAGCACCGAGACCATCACTAGGATCCCCCACATCCCCAAGCTGGCGGACACGCCTTTGAAAGGAGCTCAGAGCTGCAGGCAGGATGGGGGCTTCCCCAGAGGAGCCCAAGCAGACCCAGGAGGCACCCACCCCCATCACCGTAACCCCAGCCTGGTCCTCCCCACCTCTCACCACCCACTCACCGCAGCTGAGCCATGTCTCTGCACAGTTCTATGTTGGGTCTCCTGGTCCGCTCATCCAGACGGGTCTGAGCCACTTTCAGGAAGGCAGACTTCTCCACGATGGCCTTCTTAATGGATTCGATAGTCATCTCTGTCTGGAAAATCTCCTGCAGGGTCTGTACCAGGAGAAGCAAATGCCTGAGGCTTTGGTGCCGAGCCACCAACAACCTGCTTTCCACCCTGTGCATCTGGGACCTAGACTCCTCCTCTGCTGGGAACAGGGGTTCTTTGGGGGCCTCCTCCTTCCAGCACCATCTGGGACCTGTGGTGGGGGGTACGGCACCTGCTCGCACCCTCTGGAGAGCATCCTCCAGATGCAGCGTGTGAGCACTGACACCACAGAAATGGGCAAATGCTGCAAACCCGAGCTCACTGTCCTCCTTTCCCCAGATCACCGGCTGTTAGACATTGACTACTGCACATTTGTACGTGACCCAGAGAAAAGGGGGGCCAGGAACTTTGAGGGCACCCACTTCCCTCCCAAATTTGTGTGCCCATAAGTCTTTATCTTCCTGCTGTCTCTTCTCACTAACCTCAAAGAGGCTTTCCTGCCAGTGGAATATTTGCCTTGAAGCAAGCCAAGGTCAAGCTTTGGGGTGCCTCCATGGAAGGGAGGAGCGCTGGCAGTCTGGTAAGCCCGAATTTATATTCGTTTTGCCTTGGAAAAGGTCGCTCCAGTTACCTAAACCTGACTCCCTCCCCACCTGGGAAGCCCTTGAAGAGGTAATAAAGTTAAAATGAGGTCATTAGGGCTGGTCCTGATCTAGTCTGACTGGTGTCCTTATAAAAAGAAGCAACTGAGACAGACGTGCATGCAGGGGAGACCACGTGATGATGCTGGGAGCGGGTGACCATCTACAAGTCTAGGAGAGAGGACTTAGAAGAAACCAACCCTACAGATAACTTGACCTCAGACTTCAGCCTTCAGGACTGTGAGAAAATAAATGTCTGTTGTTTAAGCCACCCTGTCTGAGTGCTTTGTTATGGCAGCCTGAGCAAACTTAATACAGTGGTAAATAAAAATTTGTTGAACAAAGGGACTCCATCATGTCACCTTCTAAAACATCTTTAGATGGCCTCTCACTGGCCAGGGGACCCTGCCTTTAGATGACCTCTCACTCCCCTTTAGATGCCCAGGGGATCGTAACCCTTCCCATCAATGAGATCCACGGTCTGGCTCCACCTAGTTTTCCAAGCTTCTCTTTCAGGACACACACTGTCTGTGCCAGCCAGACTAGGCTCTTTACAGACCGACTCAACCCCTGATCTGCCACCTCTCGAGGTTTTGTTCATGATGCTGCCCCGCCTGAATGTTCGCTTCTTCCTCCAAACCCTGAAAACAATTTCTTTATTGGCTATTTGGCAACCACAACTTGTAATTTTCTATTGTTTTTAATTGTGTGTGAGCTTTTCAAGTTACACACACCTTCTCTACAAACATAAATTTCCTGGAACGAAAACTACCTTTCATCCATCTCTCTGCCCTTCACCGAAGTAGAAGCTGTCTGGCCCAAATGTTTGTGGCCCAAAGAATTCACCGTGAGAAGGGAAGGTAAATTCTTGCAGCCTGGGAAGAATGGCGCCCTCAATCAAATAGTACCTCTTTAGAGAAACACAGCAAACAGTGTAAGGTTCTTAAAAAGAGACAGAAAACTATATGCAGCATAATCCACAGAAATAATAAGAGCTCCAAGCCCGATATTCAGTAATACAAGAGCTCCTTGTTTATCTTGAAACCCACGAATTCTGCCTAAATCCTTCATTTTATTGTCCTTACAAAACAAAAGCACTTTAAAAAGTTCAATATAAGAAACATCTTGAACCACCTAATAGTTTCCTGTGTTTGGTTTTATATTCCAGGAAAAAAGGGGGCTGAAATAATTTAACAGAAAACATGCCTGCCATATGTTCTAATAATAAATTCACTTGCTAGTTACATGCAGTGATTCATTAAACTTTAATAATAATATTTTTGTAACTGTTAAATACTAGGAGCCTTTCATGATATAGTACATTCTTTGTGTTCCCCAAACCAGTGGATTCCAATTTCATGCTGACACCTGGCTACCTGGCTAACATAAATGGTGCGCTTCCCACTGGTTCTCATTTTCTTTAGTCTGTATGGCCAGGAAGTTGTGTACCTTATGGTGGAGATCTGTGGTCCCAGGGCCCCTGCCCTATCTCTCCAGGTCAGCCACGGGCCCACCCCCCACTGCCAGGCTTACCTTTGCCAGGTGAGTCTGAATCTTATTTTTAGCATCCGCGGTTTCAGCGATGCGGTTGGTGAAAGCCAAGTTCACCTTGTTGAACTGATTCCACATCTCGTTGGCCGTCACCACCAGGAGGTTTTGGATATCGTCTCTCAGTTTCGCAGAGGCGGCTCGCTCACTCTGGGAGCGAAGAATGTTGTCGTCGGTAAATTTGGCCCAGGACTCGGGCACTGAGACCCTGAAGAGAAAGGAAACAGATCCAGACAACGGAAACAATGATGAATCAGCCTAGACGGTCTGCAGGCAACCGTCCATCCGGTGAAAGGAAAAGAAAAAACCAAATCGCTTGATTCTGGTTTTATTGCATGAAGTGTAAACATTAGAGCAAAGCGTCTTTTAAACCTGTCTTAATTGCTCCTTGTTTCACTGCTTACTCTGGAAAGCCACAGCATATATTAAGTTCACTACCAATGTAGGGGGAGAAAGGACTGCTGAAGGGTGTGATTATGTCCATTTATTAGAAAGGTGTCTCACCAGCCCCATAAGCATTACGAAAAACTATTCAACCTCAGGACTAATCAAAGAAGTACTGCTGAAAATAGCTTACTAATAACCCTTTGTCAGAACAGCAAAGAGCTAAGAGAATGATTATTTTCCAATGAGCATGTTTAGAAACGGATTCGCTCATATCCTGCAGGTATATGTGTCAGTAGTTCAGATGTGTCAGACTCTTTGCAACCCCATGGACTGTAGCCCGCCAGGATCCTCTGTCCTTGGGATTTCCCAGGCAAGAATACTGGAATGGGTTTGCCATTTCCTCCTCCAGGGGATCTGCCCGACTCAGTGGTTGATCCTGCATCTCCTGCACTGGCAGGCATTCTTTACCGTCTAAGCCACCAGGGAAGCCCTATCCTACAGGTAGGAATGTTGAATTGCTACAGGCCTGATGGAGAGCAGTGTGAACTGAGTCTCTCAGTAATTTCAATTAGAAATTCCACTTCTAATTGACATGTAACATTACATCAGTTTCCAGTGAGCAACTTAATGATTTGATTTATGGATATACTGCAAAATGCCCACCACAGTAAGTCTAACTAACAGCATCACACACAGTTACAAATCTTTTACTTAGGATGAGAGTTTTTAAGATCTCTTCCTGGTGACTCAGACAGTAAAGAATCTGCCTGCAATGCAGGAGACCCAGGTTCTATCCATGGATCAGGAAGATCCTCTGAAGGAGTGTATGGCAACCCACTCCAGTATTCTTGCCTGGAGAATTCCACGGAAAGAGGTGCCTGGCAGGCTATAGTCCATGGGGTCGCAAGAGTCAGATAGAACTGAGTGACTGAGCACACACACAAAGAAAGGTAACACAGGGTTATCAAGATGCAGAGAGACAGGTCCTCTCATAGAGAAAAGACCATCCATCCCAGATCGCATCCAGGGGCCTGGCAAAGAAACCATGGACAGGGCAGGTTTAACAAAGAGTGGAAATAAATTATTCTACGTTCAACTGTTTCTCAGCTTGTACACCTATCACCCCACCCCCCATCCAGGGCATCTAATACACTGGTAACATTGTATTTTCTTTATGCCTAATTGTGTTTTCTAGGTTTTCTGCCTCAAGCAGGTGCTATTTTCATAGTTAGGATTCTAAACAACAAATAATTCTTTTACAAAAGATCACAGGATACAAGTGGCCACAGAACACATGAGTTTACTGAGGACCCGTCCACAGCAGGTGAGTCTTACCTTTCAGCAAGTGAGTCTTACCTTTCTGAGTCCTCCCATGACTTCCAACTTACCTGTATGCTGCACCCTTTGGAAAGCAGAGAGAATGAGTTCAGTGGCATGGAAATCACAGGCAGCCTGTGCCTACTCACGTGGCATCCACCCTCTCCACTCCACGGAAGTAGCTGACGCCATCCGACGTGTTTCGCAGATGGTGGCATTTATCGTCGATCCTGTAAGCCGACTGCTTGTCACTCAGGTCCTTCTCCAGCTCGTGCTGGGTGGCTCTGCTGGCTCTAAAAGGCAGAAGGAGACAGAGCGTCAGGCTCAGGAAACAATATCACACAAGGAAGCGTGACTGCCCTTCTGGGTGGGGAACCACCCCTGCCTCCACCCCCATCCCCATCCCCACACCCGCTCCCTCCCATGACCTCCCATGAAAGTCTGCTCCTTCACACAATGTCCAACTTCTCCATTAAAAGGAGCTTCCCCTGCAACCTAGACATCCATCAAGAGATGAATGGATCAAGTCGTGGTACACGTATGTGGTGGAATATTACTCTATGAAAAGGAATGAATTCGAGTCAGTTGAACTGAGGTGGATGAACCCAAAGCCTGTTATACAGAGTGAACTAAGTCAGAGAGAGAAAAACAAATATTGTATGTTAAGGCATATATATGGAATCTAGAAAAAATGGTACTGATGAACTTATTTGCAGGGCAGGAATAGAGACACAGACGTACAGAACAGACTTGTGGACACAGCAAGAGGAGGAGAGAGGGTAGGACGAATTGAGAGAGGAGCACCAAATCATTCATTACCGTACGGAAAATAGAGAGCCAGTGGGAAACTGCTGGAGAGTACTGGGAGCTCTGTGACAACCTAGAAGGTGGGAATGGGTGGGAGGTGGGAGGGAGGCTCAGGAGGAAGGGGACATATGTATACCTATGGCTGATTCACATTACTGCACAGCAGAAACCAACACAACATTGTAAAGCAATTATCCTCTGATTAAAAAACAAGGAGCTTCCCCTGGAGATGTCCATACATATGAGGGGTGAGAACTCTGTCCAGACTGCCCCTGCTATGGGCAGAAGATGTGTGGACACACAGAACTGGGTATCTACAGCCCCTCAGGCTGGCCCCCATCTTCCTAACACACAAACCGCCCCAGACAGGACACTGGTTTGGAGCAATCTGTCCACATCTGTGCTTCTCTTTCCTTCTCCCTTTTCCTCTTCTACATCCTAACCCCTTTCTCTTCTATCCCTGGAGAGCAATCCCCTGTGAAGTTATTAGGAATTCAGAGTCAGCCTCCTTCCATCTGTAAATGACCTCAGTTTGTGGTCACCCCAGGTCTGAGAGGTTTGCCAGGAGATAGAAACCAAGAGTCAAAATGAACCTCCCTGGCAGGAGCCAGTGTGCAGAAAGAGGTCAGGAATTGCGGTACCCAAGCTCGTGCTCCAGCGGCCACCCTCCTGGGAAGGATGAGCCCTTGGTGAGCTCTGAGATGCTATAATCACAGAGTGCCTACTCAGCACCCAGGAAGCAAAATGGACAGAGCAAAGGTCTCCTCCCTAGAGAAGCGTACATCCTACTGCAAGGCAATAGGCAGTCCCCATAAGGAATAGGCAAATCCTGTGGCTTGTTAGCGGAACAATTCAGAAAATAAAGCAGGAAAGGGGGGCCAGGAATGTGAGTGATGATTTTAAACAGGATAGTCAGGGTAGGACTCCTAGAGGAGGTGGTGCTTGACCCAAGACTTGCAGAGGGAGAACCAGACCAGACAAAGCCTTACGGGCTGGCCATTGAAGGGAGTCAGCTTTTCCTCTTAGGTGGAACGAGAGACCACTGACTTACATTATTAAGGGATCATTCTGATGTGGGACTGACAACAGACTTCAGGGAACAGAGAGATCCCATTAGCAGACATGTGCAGTTACCCAGGTGGGACACAGTGGTGGCTTAGACCAACAGGGCGGCAGTGAAGGAGGTGAGAAAGGCTTAGATTCTGGAGATGCTTTAAAGATAAAACCAGGGGACTCTCCTAAGAGATCAGACATCAGTGAAAAATAAATAAATAAAAGCTGATGTTGAGTCACTGGAATAGCAGGAAGCCATCAGTGGAGGTGGGCGAAATTGAGGGTGGAGGTGGGGGGAAGAACACAGAAGGTCTTGCTTAATGTCTGAGTGTCTATTAAACATCCAAGTGGAGATACGAAGTGGGTTGTTGGAACTGGGGAGAAAGTTCTGGGCTAGAGTAAAAATTGAGGAGGCAATCGCATAAATCACGTACAGAGAGCCCCTGAAAGAAGCAAAGAACTGGATAATCCTAGTCATTTCTGAATTCTGGTCTCAGCACAGAAAAGCCACCCAGAAAAACGTGCATGGGACTGAACCAGCTGATCTCTAACTTGGCCTGTGCCTTTGGGTACTTCACCGGACCTGTCAGAGCTCTTAATTTTGTGGTTTGTAAAGTAGAAATGAGGGTAGTGGCATGCAGGTCGTCTGCATTTTGTGAGTTCTAAGTCAGTGCATCCGTGTACACAGGAAGAGAGAGGAGGGGGCTGCCTTCCTGCTGCTTCTCGAGTCCAATCTCTCGTCTCAGGCTACTGGGTTGAATCTCTGGGACTCGAAGACCTTTCTCAGCTGTGGTCTGGGACCAAGATGCTCCCCAGGCTTCCTCTCTTGGGCTGACACCCTTGACCTCCTCTGACCTGACTTCAGAACCGCCTTAGGAAGGTCTCTCCATCCACCACCTTAGCGCCCGAGACGGGGAGCGATCTATGCTGCCATGTTGCTTTCTAATGAGACTCCATCCTCAGCTGAGATCCTCACTGGTCTTGTTGTTTCTTCTTCATCATTCCTCCCAAGACAAATAGAGTTGAAACCCCTCTCCCCTTGCCTCTACTGGATCAAGTCCAGTAACCATGTTAGGGATCCCCGCCCCCATCTCCTGGATGGAGAAACCATCCCAGGAAATTAGGTGGGCATTTTTCCCACTGTGTATTAAAGAGCAGAGGATATGGAAGATGAGCAGCAGATTTTAGATAATGAAAAAAAAAAATGAAGATTAGGAACTGGACCAGAAGAAAACAGAACAATCATTGGAACCACACTCAACTGATTCTGAAATTTCCAAGGAGCAGAAACCAGAAATTAACATCACAGCTGCTGTGTCTTACATCCACTTATTTAACCAAGCCATGGGCAGTCAGCCATCCACAACCAGTTCTTACCTATTTCTGAATTAAAGAGCCCTTTCAATCACAGTTTGAGAGACAACTTAGCCATCTGAACCTGACTGACCTTCACAGAATCCATCCTGAAGGTCAGCAGACTGAGAAAAACCACCACTTTCAGAGCACCTGTTCCCTTGCCTACATCACACATTACTGCTGACAACATCAATACAGGCAGAAAGATCGTTCCCTTTGTGCGACATATTCCACACTACTTCTTTCCATGGCCATAATCAAATGCACGTTGATCTTTCTAGTCCTTTCAGCCAGTACTTTTTCTATGCTGACAGTTGTTATCATGGCTTCAAACCCTCCTTTGACTATTATTCTTTGCCCTCAACCTCCACTATAAATATTAAGTACCTACTATCTACTATAGCATTGGACAGAGGAGCCTGGTGGGCTACAGTCCATGCACTTGCAAAGAGTTGGACATGACTGAGCGACTGAACTGAACTGAACTGAAATATCTACTATTGCCAAGAGAAGAAGAATTTGTATTTGGCTAGAGAGGATGGGTAAATGATTGCAATGCCATGGATGTAGTGAATGCAATGATGTCATCACAGCACCAAGGACGATGTACCAGGGTTGCCAGGAAACCAGAGAAGGCTGAGTTTTTAAGGAGGAGCAGAGAGTAAATATAAAAGTGAAAGTGAAAGTAGCTCTCAGTCAGGTCTGACTCTGTGCGACCCCATGGACTATAGCCTGCCAGGCTCCTCCATCCATGGAATTCTCCAAGCAAGAATACTTGAGTGGGTAGTCAGTGCCTTCTCCAGGGGTAAATATAAAAGTGTCACAATTCATTGCTTTTCCAGCTGTTGATCTGAACGTGTACAAGTCAATCTCTTATCAAAAAATGAAGTCTTTTGAGTTAAAAGAAACTTTGGTCATACTTAGGACAAAAATCCTTTCCAAACCATTGCAAAAAAATATTTCTTAAAATAAAAATGTAAAGTAAATATCCCAAATATTCACCTTAACCTCTAAATAAAAACATATAAGTGCATATGGATGTGTGTCCATGTATAAGAAATCCTTACATAATAAGCTAAGAGAAATCTGATTGGGAGGCATGGAAGTACAGCTTCATGATAGATTTTTAATTGTATAGAGAAGATAAAGTTCTTACGCCAGTTGGGCAATGGCCTTGTCCAAATACAGCTTCATCCTTTCTTGACAACACAGAATAATATCAACTTCCTACTCAATTGAAAAAAAAGGAACATTAATGTTTTGATTATTGAACATAATGTTCAAAGTCAACAATGTAACAAAACATCAATGAAGGAAAACTTTGTTACTGGGAGAATTGTGACATAAAATAAGAAAATAATTTGATACCCCCTTATTTACTTAAATGCCCCTATGACATTGCTGTCTCAATAGCAGACTGAAATTCACCCTTTACAGGGTTATTGGGAAACTATATTATGAAACAAGTTGGGACAGGGGTAAAATTTTAGGAGTTTTCTTTATCTTTTATTGCTGGTCTCTAATTAAATCAATGGATCAATTAATCAAATTCTGGTGATGCACAAGGGTGAATTGAATGCATGGCTTCTTCTATACCAAGTACTCTTCCAAGAAAAGCAAGTTTGGGAGGGAAAAGGATAGCCTAAAAGGCAGTTCTCTCTGGAAGTGCATGTGACTTTCAAATGACCCAGTTTTATGTTCCAGATAGAGCCCAACCTCCACCCTGGGAGGCCAGCCCTCCCCTCGTCCAGCCTCTGCCCTCAGCCCAGCTCCTATACTGGTATAAAAAGCTGCACTATCCACACCATCTGCTTGGCCACACACGTGGTACTTTGATGCTGCTAGAATGTATACACTGTTGACATATGTTGTAGCAGAGACTGTTTCAATATTTACTTCCCTTTGAACTTCATATTCACATATCAGAACCCTAGATAGCACCAAGAAGACATTTAAGAAGTGCACATAAGCACTGTTGCCACTTTTTCAAGTGAAAAATGATCATACCAGCCTATTGAATAATGAACTCCTGAACACTCTCCTGTAACATAAAACAATACTGCGATGAACAACCTCAAAAATATTTAGACATCACCAATGGGGATGCCTTTTTTCAAGGTTTTGACAAGTGCAGCCAAGTTGCCTTTCAGAAAAGTTATCCCCAATTATTAATCTAACAATAAATGAAGGTGAATTTCCTCACCTCGCACACCCAGTGGACACTACGAATGCTCTCAATCTTTGCCAACATAACAAGCCCCCCACATAAAAGCACACTTGTCCAGATTTGCATTTTTATATTATGACTGTATATTTGTTCATGATTTGACTTTCTTCTTTTGTGAACCACCTGTTCATGTGCTTGTATACCTTTTCTGCTATGTTTTTCTTATTTATAAATATTCTTATATTTAGAATTCAATCTTTTCCCATTATATGTCATAAGTACAACGTATGTGTCATAAAATATTTTTTTACCAGTTTGGTCCTTGCCTTTGTATTTTGTGTGTGGTGTTTTTTGATACAGACATTTATGATTTCTATGGTGCTAAACTCTTAAAAGTTCCCCCTTTGGGTTTCTGCTTTCATTAATTTGATTTAAAAGTCTTCTCTTCAATGTTAATTATTACTCAACCGTATAATCTTCTTATTCTTTCATTGCTTAATTGGTGAACATAAAAATATTATGCCTAGAGCTTATTTCAGTGATAAGCCTCCTACCTGATCCTCCAATACTCTGAATGATTGGAGTAAATGAAAAGCTAAATTCCCACAACATGTGACCAAGTTGCCCTGCTCTTACAGGCAGCAAGGATTTCTCACATGTTCCCACTGTAGGCTGTGCATGTCTTTGATTTTTAGTACTATTCAGTCTTCATCTTTCTCTCTGGCCTGGTGTGTGTGTATAGCTAGTTCACAGAGGTGTTGAAAAAGGATCCATGGAATACTGCTTAGAAAACACCACTTAAAACCCAAATTCTCAGTGAGCTTTTATGCTATGTGTACACGATGCACACAGAGGGAATTCCTGGAACTTCAAGTGGAAAAAAACTACATTTAATGAGACACTTGCTATAGGACCCTTGAGCGGTATTTTTTACATCTGAATTTAAATAATGTCATATGGTGAATGTCATGGTTGGAGGTAGAAGGCTTCATGAGGATAGGAAATGCCTGAAACCAAAGACTTTTGGAACCTGTTCCCCAATGCTAACACCTACTAATTCATACTCATCCATGGACCTCCAGGAAATGCTCCCAATGGAAGTAAATGCAAGTCAAACGCCTTATCCCCTCAACCATCCATGAAAATAACATTTACAGAAGATGGTGGACACAGACAGAGGGCAGAAGTGTGAGAAGAGCCCAAATGTAATCAGATCAATAGCTACCGCCCGACATCCAGGGAAGCAAACAGAGATCACAGCAGGAAACCCAAGAACAGCACACTAGGAGCCTGGCAAGTGGGCCCACTCCCTCTGGATCCTGAACTTAGGGAGGATCAATAAACCCCTTGAATAAAGGGTCATGGTGACTGCTCTGCATTTCTCAGAGTCTCAGTGATCAGAGTAAATATGTCATGGCTTAAGATGGAAAGAGAACAAGGAGTTGCATCCAGGCATTTGAAGAATCTCGAATGAATCCTACTCTTTGAGCAGGTGAAACCTTTGTGAGGCATCTCGCTACAGTTCTCCTCTTGGGAGCTATATAATCTTGGGATGGGGAGAGGGGTTGCGGGAGAGAACAGAGACTTCACAGCCTTTGGCTTCCCCTCACCTCAAGCAAAACCCCACCTTGTCGCCTCACACTCCTGGGTCTTGGGTGGGATAGTGGTTAAAGACACTCTTTGGCATCAGATAGCCCAGCTCCAAGACTAGCTTTGCAGATGCTGGGACCAAAGGCAAGTTATAAACTAAGGGAGATAACACTTACCTTTCTAGGCTGCAGAGTAGATAATTACATGCCTTGCAGATGAAAAGTTCTCAATAAGGCGTGGACCTTATACAACATGACATGGGTCATAGAGCGTGACTCAGAACTTGATCCTCACGTACAATGTGGGCTCCGCCCTATTCTCAGCTGAGGGACATCGGCCAGGTCACAAGAACCCTGAATGCTGACCACACGTGTGGCTCTGTGCTGACTCGGCTACACCCTGAACTGTGGACATACAGTCATTTCTGGGACCTCACTGTTAAACCCAGACCCTGCTTCTAGCGGAGTGTCGTTCTATGTATCCATGTTAACTGAGCCTTTTTAAGTTTGGGGAAAGTGGGTCATCTAACACACTCTTAACAGAGTGAAAGTGAAAGTTGCTCAGTCATGTCCAACTTTTTGCGACGCCACGGACTATACAGTCTATGGAATTCTCCAAGCCAGGATACTGGAGTGGGTAGCCTTTCCCTTCTCCAGGGGACCTCCCCAACCCAGGGATCGAACCCAGGTCTCCCACACTGCAGGCAGATTCTTTATCGGCTGAGCCACAAGGGAAGCCCAAGAATACTGGAGTGGGTAGCCTACTCTTCTCCAGTGGATCCTCCCAACCCAGGGATCGAACAGGGGTCTCCTGCATTGCAGGCAGATTCTTTACCAACTGAGCTATCACGGAAGAGGTTACTAAAATCAAACTTTAAAAATCAAACTGTAAGTCCAATTGTATCTGGAATCTGGATGATGGCAAATATCACCTATAGGAGTAGACACTCCATTTCTTTGTGGGGTTGTTTTTGTTCTGGTTTTGGGTTTTTGTTGTTGTTGGGGGTTTTGTTTTGTGGAATCTTAGTTCCCCAATCAGGAATCAAACCCATGCCCCATGCAGTGTAAGTGTGGAGTCTTAACCACTGGACTACCAGGGTTTCTGTATACAGTGTTTTATAATGATGATACTCTCAAATTCTCATGTATCCCTGAGTTTGGGATGCAGAAGGTATTTCCTTATAGATCTGCATTCTCAGTATTTGTTCCTCCATCACTTGAAGTTGACCCATCACCCGGTCAGTTGTGAGGCGGCTGTAGTCCCCCAACCTATTTAGAGGCAAAAATCCCAGATAGGGGAGGCATGTCTTGCTACTGGCGGTAAGAACCCAGTCAGACATTCTTTCCATGCTGGCATCAAGGTTCTATTCAATACTGTCTCAGAGCAGAATCCTCCTGGGCCAGAGTTATAGAACCAGTAACAGGTCCCTCAATAGGAAGGGAAGGCAGAAGGCATCAGGGCCCAAGAACAGTTCACTTTCAGGCTTCATGAATGTGAATGAAAAAATTAGTTACCAACAGACATATGTTTGGCACTTGGGGATGCAGAATGAATGCTTAATAGAGTATGCAAGCTGAAAAACAGAAACGGGGAAGAGTACCAGGTACATAAGAGCTGAAACCTTTAAGGAATGGCAGAGACCTTGTGAGAGAGAGCCTAGGAGGTAAGATCAGAGAATGGAGAACAAAATCATCTTAGTTGGTGGGAGGTGGAAGAGAGCCTAATGGGAGAACCAGCACCATGCATCAGATATAACTATGAGCTTCTGGATGGCAATTTCGCTGCATGTCAAAGCTCTACAAATGCATGGACCCTCTGACAAATCAATTACATTTTCAAAAATGAATTCTAAGGAAATAATCAGAAATACATACAGTTATTAATACCATGCCTGTCTGAGGGCAAGGGCCACTTGGAAATCTCTGTACCTTCCCCTCTGTTTGGTTGTGAACCTAAAAATGCTCTAAAACATTCTTTAAAAGTAGCACTGCCTTTCCAAATCTACATTTAAGAATAAACACCACTGAGCATGTATCCCACCAAAAAAAGCACGTTCAAATTCATAGATATAGTATAATTCTAATCTTGAAGACATGTTTGTGTGTCTTCAGATTGGGTGACGCCTACTTAAGCATGATTACAAAGAAGACCAAAACACTCTAAAATGAATAGTCATTCCTAAGTGAACTTTGAGTGATTTTTATCTTTTCTTTTTTTATCTTCTTTATCTATTTTTATGTTTATTGCATTTTTCAAATTCCCTCAGGAAATATCTATTACTTTTATAACCCCCCCAAAAATATATCTTTATAAAAAAATAACACACTCCTACTGTATAGCACAGGGAACTATATTCAATATCTTGTAAAAAACCATAATAGAAAAGAATATGAAAATGTATACATACGTGTGTATATTTTACACACACACACACACACACACACACACACACGCTCATATATGAATCACTCTGCTGCACACCAGAAGCTAACAAAGTGAAAGTTGCTCAGTCGTGTCCGACTCTTCGCGACCCCATGGACTATATAGTCCATAGCATTCTCCAGGCCAGAAATACTGGAGTGGGTAGCCTGTCCCTCCTCCAGGGCATCTTCCCAACCCAGAGACTGAACCCAGGTCTCCTGCATTGCAGGCAGATTCTTTACCAGCTGAGCCACAAGGGAAGCCCAAGAATACTGGAGTGGGTAGCCTATCCTTTCTCCAGTGGATCTTCCCAACCCAGGAATCGAACCGGGGTCCTCTGCATTGCAGGTGGATTCTTTACCAACTGAGTTATCAGGGAAGCCTGTTGTAAATCAACTACATTTCAATTTAAAAAAAAAAATTAAATGTATTTTTTTCTAAATACTATAAATATCTGATACTATAACTCCTTACTTATAAGTGTCTTTATGAAACATCATTTTTGTTTCTATACATTAAATGGTAAATGCACATTTGCAAGTAAGTTGCTTGTTATTGAAGGATTTGCCCCATATTTACCGTCAGCAGCTCTTTTTCCACTTCATCATGAACTAGATCAATTCCCATTCTCTTCTCTCGATGAAATAGACATTCTCGGGCTACCTACAAACACAGAAATAATGGAAACACTAATACAAACGGACTAAAATCAGTGACTAGCACTTCTAATAAACCTGTTTCTAAGACAAGTCAATAAATACTCCCAATACCAACTTTTCTAGCCATTTTGTTGAAAACCAAACAAGAAACTCACTGTGACAACTAAATGAATCCCTACTACTAGTGAAAAGGTAAAGAGTTTGAAAAACTACTGATTTAGAAAGTTGACAAAATGAAGCAGATGGTGTCCTACCTAATCCCCACAGATCATCTGAGAAAATTATTTGGCATTAATTCCTTCTAGAGAATAGTTCAATAACCCAAATCATAGTCTTCAAGATATTATTTCTAAATATTTTCTACTGAGAAGTGAGAGGAATAAACAGTGATTATTTAAAGACACCAAAACATTTATGAAGCCAAAAATTCAGGTGATTATTAAGTACCATTTATTGCTTTCCTAATTATAAAAATAGTACACCTCAGTCATTAAATAGCAAAAAAGAGAGAAGTTGAAAATGTTATTCATACTCTTATCACCATTGTGTTTGCTTTTAACAAAACAGAAGTTATAATGCCCTCATAATTTTACATTTTAGGATTGATATTAAATAGTAGACCTGAAATAGTCTTTGAGACAAAGTATGTTAATGACTCCAATAGAAAACAGCTTAGGTAGCCAACAACTAAATTATGTATGAAAGAACATTATGTGTTAAACTACTATCTTTCAAAGAGTATTTCATGACGTGGGATGTTAAAAATTTTTAAAGCATAAAATAGTATGTACACCATAATCTGGATATAATGTCATTGAACAAAATGTTGGAGTGAATCTCTAATTTTTTAATAGTACAATGTACACTTACTAGAAGATGAATTAATGAGTTGAAGGAAATTCGGATTTTTTTTTTTTTGGAAATTCTGTTTTTAATGTGTATTACAAAATTGCTTTCCAGCAAGTTTCTTTTTTTTTTTTTTTACATAGTATGTGCTTTTTTAATACCAGGACAAGCATCCTCTGAGAGGTCGGGCAGGCCCTTGATTAACATCCGCTTCATGTTTATGCTGATAATACTTCACGCTTTATATGTTTCTTTGGATTTTTAAAAGTATGCCGTGCTGAGCACTGCCAAAAACGAAATGCTTGCTGCTTTCAGGGGTTCCTGGTCTAAAGAGGGCTCCAGCCACAGGTGGAAATGTGATCTAACAGGCCCTGGTGGAGGGAAACTGGGTGCCCTGGGGCCCAGGGAAGGCTTTCCTTAGGAGGGGACATTTGAGCAGAGCCCTGAGCTCCCAGCAAAGGAAGGAAACAGCTGCATGGCGTGTTTGGCCATGGGGTATAGAGCCTGCACAGGAGCAAGGGGGGGGCCTGAGTCAGGTGATCCTGGGGTGGAGGAACCCCAAGGGGTCAGGCCTAGGAGGTAGATGAGCATTGTAGTGGATGTGTCATTGCCCCTCATCCTACCCAGGGTGCCAGGGCTTCTACCCCAGGGCAGGGGGTGAGGTCACTGTCCCTCTGGGCACAGCCATTGATGAAGGGTACTCCCAAATGCTCTTCAGACATGAATGGGCCCCCTCTCAAGGGGACAGGCTTGAATGGCTGCCACTGGGCACATGAAAATCCCTTGTGTCTGGTCCTGATGCTGAGAGGGCCCTGCAGGCAGGCCTGGGGCCAATCTCCGTGGCAGGTCAGCTCCAGTCCCCCCGATTCCAGCTGTGCGGGTGGGATGCTGGGCATCTCACCATCCCTCCTGCAGGCTCAGGGCAGCACACGTTCCTCGTGGCACCCTCTGGCCACCGGCTCCATCTTTTCCCAGCAGGTTTCTACTCATCCATAGTCTACTAGCAATATATGGAGTATCTGTCTTCTGCATTTTTGCTGACCCTATACATTATCAGTTTTCATTTTTGCAAATTTGAATGAGCCAAAGTTTCACTTCATGCCTTAGCTTGCATTTGTTTCAGCTTGCAAGTTTATCATTGAGTTTTAATATTTTTTCTTACATACAGTGGACCATCGGTATATCCTCTTTTGAGATATATCTGTTCATGTGACTAATTCTCATTTTAATTAGGGTCTTCTGCTACTGTGCTGATTGTAAATGTTTAAACACACAAGATATCTGGACCAAAAAAACCGCAGAAAAGAAATTTAAATTATACCCATCTTATGGAAAGCAGTCATCATTGAAAGGAATGGTTAAGGAAGAAATTTAATCTCCTCTGGAATTAAGTAAAAGAAGTGGCTATCATTTTAAGAGTTCATTAAAGTGGGAGTGGGAGGGATGTAGAACAGACCAGAAATCCTCAAAATGACCCAGAGCTCAGAGAAAGTACGGAAGGACTTCTGATCCCCACCCAAAAAAAATTCATGGTAAGTTCATTTAAAACAATCTCATTAGTGTCCTATAGACCTTTCTCAGGATTTCTGTGGTTCTGTGTATTTGTGTGCACTTGTGTTCAGTGGGGAGGAGGCACAGTGAGAAGTTACAGTGTGGGGGAGGGGTCTCCAGCAAACCCTCCAACCCACTAGACTTCCAGCTCCTCAATACTCTAATCTCGTCTACTACAGATGCCATAAAATAAGACCTACTGGAAATGCTTATCACTTGGAAAATGAGTTATACAAACATGGAGTAATAATGGTGTTAGCCTTGCCCATCCACATACATACAACTTCTCAAATAATTTGTCATTTGCACATCTTCAGAGACAGAATGTTTTCTTTCAATGGTAGTGGACAGAATGTGGTCAGGGTAAGGAGGAGAGCAACATACACTCAGAGGGTTAGCGGTAATTTGATCTCCACTCAGAAGCCTAATCAGAGGCCAGTAACCAGATGAAAGGCTGCCTCCAAGACCACAACTGGCTCAACCTCCATCCCATTTCTCTATTTAATCAAACTCATTCCATCTCCTAAGAAGGTCTTATTTGATCATTTCACTGTGCCCCAAAGTGGAATCACCACATGCACTCAGAAGGCATTTCATGACATAGACTAAAAGAACAGCTTATCTTTTTCCTTTCAAACAATGTTTATATTAGACCAGGGACAGCAATGACCAAGCAGCCTATTTAAGAGATACGAAAATGGCATTTTCACCATAAAACACTGTGTGTCCTAAGAATGTCACTTTTTCATACTGTTCATGGGGTTCTCGTGGCAAGAATACTGAAGTGGTTTGCCATTCTCTTCTCCAGTGGACCATGTTCTGTCAGAACTCTCCACCATGTATGGTGGGAGAGCTGGACTACATGTATGTATGGATGGATGTGAGATACAGTCATGTATGGACATGAGAGTTGGACTATAAAGAAAGCTGATTACTGAAGAATTGATGCTTTGGAACTGTGGTGTTGGAGAAGACTCTTGAGAGTCCCTTGGATGGCAAAGAGATCAAACCAGTCACTCCTAAAGGAAATCAGTCCTGAATATTCATTGGAAGGACTGATGCTGAATCTGAAACCAATACTTTGGCCACCTGTTGCAAAGAACTGACTCACTAGAAAAGACCCTGATGCTGGGAAAGATTGAAGGCAGGAGGAGAAGAGGATGACAGAGGATGAGATGGTTGGATGGCATCACCGACTCAGTGGACATGTGTTTGAGCAAGCTCTGGGAGTTGGTGATGGACAGGGAAGCCTAGCGTGCTGCAATCCATGGGGTCACAAAGAGTCAGACATAACTGAGTGACTGAACTGAAGAATGTTGCCTTAATTAGCCTGTGTGCAGAATTTTCTCCTTTTTTTTTGGCTGTGCCACTGGGCTTGCAAGAGGAGATCTTTGTTCTCCAACCATGGATTTTACCAGTGACCTCAGCAGAGAAAACACAGAGTCCTAACCACTGGACCACCAGAGAATTCCCAAATTCTAGTTAAATGGCTGTTCTGAAAAATGTGTGAAAAATAGCAGTGGTTTTATCATCAATGAAACTTGTTACAGATATATTGATAGGGGCTTGGCTCCTACAGGTTAACTGAAATATACTGCAATAGATAAATGATCTTGACAATTCAATGACTGGGTTATAATCCATTTAGTAAAGCCTTATGTTTACCTGAAGAGGGGCTTCTGTCTCCATCAAAGCCCTCTCCAACCTTTTCTTAATGTCAGTTAGTTCATTTGTCTCTCCAATCATTGCATCCAACTCATGAATGATTTCAGATTTCCAAAACCCTATGTCGTTGACTCGTTCTCCCAAGTTTTGGGTGGAGTCTGCCTGGGTTTTTCTCGTTTGCTGGTATTTGTCTTGAATCAAGCGAGATGTGTCCACCCTTAGTCTCTCTGAATTGTGTCGGGAAGTGTTGGACTCTTGAAAGTTGGTTAGGTTGGACCTGTACCAATCATCAGGTGTATACCTGGTGAAGAGGGTAGTTCTGTTGGAGACAAAAGGTAGCATGGTGCTCTCGGACACCCTCTGAGATCTGGTGCAGTACGGATCCAAGGTTGGCCAGTTGGACGCTGCTTTGTAGTATGTGCTTGGTCTCCAAGGCAGGCTCAGGCTATGGGTCAAATTGTAGTGGGGGAAGCGATCCCTGTAGCTTGAAGCCATGGTACTGATGGCTGGTAGGAAGCTGGTTGGTGTTGGTCTAGGGTGGGCATAAGTTGCCGTTAAGGTAGAACCTAGAAGCTCCATGATGCTCAAACACTATTTGTAAATCTCTCCTGTTTAAAAGAGGTCAGGGGAGGCAAAAATAGATAGTCACATAAACTAACTTAGGCAAAAACTTACACATAAAAGGTCACATCTGCCTTACTATAAGTAGCAATGGTAACACATTAGATATTTGTTTTAATTTGATGTCCACCTTTACTAGTGATAACATATCCCAATTATTTTTTTAATCTCTGTATCTCTAGACTGTAGTCAAATCACATTTTTGTAGATTTTGGCCATTTGAGTTTTTGAAACTTTTTTTTTAATTATGAAAAGTAACATTGTCTTGTAACAGATTCAAATCAAGAGGCTGAACCATGCTTTTTAACAGGTTGGGTTCAAATCTTGGCTGAGCTCTTTACTAACTGTGACACCTGTGCAAATGATTTAACCTCTCAGTGCCTCATCTCTAAATTGGGAATAATAATAGCAATCACTACTTTGGATTGCTACAAGCAGTATTAGCAGCAAGGGGTTACTTGGTAGTATTCCCCGGCCCCAGCCCCCATCGAGCTTCCTAAATAAACATGCGATCAGAGTAGCAATGGCAAGTATGCAAACACAGTTCAAGGAAGTACCCTGATACCCTTTTCGTGGCAACTTGCCACCCCCAATATACACGGACATGTAACTCAGCCCCTGCAGGGCTATGAGGATCGAGGAGGACGAGGCTGAGTGTCTGGAATACTTAGCACAGTTCCGAGCACAAAGTAAAGGCTCATAAATGTTAACTTTAAAAATTACTAGTGTCGAGGAATAAACAAAGTAAAAGATGACTATCCATTCTTTCCCATCAAAAAACTACTCTTCAGAAGTATACAGTGTGAATAGTTCATTAATAGCTTTATCTTTCCAGATTTTTCCTTTTCTTATACTAACACATATACTATTTTTAAATCTGTATACATCTCCCTAACATACATATGCACAGGGCTTTTTAATACAAAAACTGAATTACCTTAATCATTATCTTAATCATCAATGCATTTTCGCATTATATATATATATATATTATATATGTTATATATATATAACATGCATTATATGCATGCATTATATGCATATATATATATGTTATAATATATATATAACATGCATTTTTAAAAATAAATGTATTTTGGATCTCTCTCCTTATTAAAACATATAGATGCACTTCATCCTTTTTGGGGGCTTCCCAGGTGATGCTAGTGGTAAAGAACCCATCTGCCAATGCAGGAGATGTAAGAGACACAGGTTCGATCCTTAGGTCAGAAAGATCCCCTGGAGGAGGGCATGGCAGTCCACTCCAGTGTTCTTGCCTGGAAGATCCCATGGTCAGAGGAACCTGGAGGGCCACAGTCAATAGGGTCTCAAAGAGTAGGACACAACTGAAATGACTTAGCACACCCTTTTTTACCAGCTGAAAAGTATTCTATTGTCTGGAATTTGAGGTCACTGTCAGTCCACAAAGCCAAGGATACCATAGACTATGACATACATTTCAGCGTCTAAATGTCATTCTACTTGGGGGTTAATGTCTATGGACTCTTTTACTGAAAATAAAAAATAATATCAGATCCAATTTTGCAGTCTGCTCATAACAAACAAACAAACAAACAAAACAAGTTCAATGATTCTTTAAATAGCTGTTTTGACACCATTGGTACCCAAACCACAAAATGATCTATTTGTCGAACTGTGGCTGAATCAAAATCCATTTGGACCGAATGTGATGAAACAGCTGCCAGCCGCCACAGGTGGTGTCCCCCACAACACTAGCTCCCTGACTATTTCCTAATTCTCCCCTCCCTCAGCCCCCAAATGCCTTATACTGCCCAAGCTTAGGTTACAACAGAGAAAACAAAAGCCTTAACAACCACTTGCCATTGTGAATCTCTGTTTGAAACACACTGCTTTTTGAAAAAGCAAATTCAAAGTAACTTGAGACCTTAGGGGCCTCATGGCTACTTTTAGTTTCAACCTCTTCCTCAAGTCCCATATAGAAATAAACTGGTCAGTTTTCTTTGAGACAGAAGCTTCAAGTAAGACTGGACCACTCTTGATTGGCTTTTTTTTAATTACTGACAACAATGAATCTAAAAGTTAACGTCACACTTGGTTCTTCAACCATGGAATTCCAGGTATTATAGAATTACTACATGTATTTAATCGACATCTATGATGTTGAATCTTAAGGCACTTCAATCCCTGTTTGTCAAATATTGAACCATGAGTCATCCACTCCAAAGGGTGAGATGTGAAAGGCTGAGGTTCACAAGCCAGAGAAGACCTATGAATTGAGAAAATCAATATGGCTTGTAAAAGCATCCAGTGATATTTTTAAATTAGAGATGGGATATAATTTAAAACCTGGAATCTGAAGTATAAACTCAGTTGCTTTAAAAGCTCCCAGATATAGAGCTCCTCACATATGGCAGTAAGTTTCACATGAGAGACAATATTCTCTCTCTATTCCAGACTCCAATATTCCATATTCTATCTTATCAGCCATGACTGTGCTCAATTGCTCAGTCGTCTCTGACTTTTTGTGACCCCAGGAACTGTAGCCTGACAGGCTCCTCTGTCCATAGAATTTTCCAGGCAAGAATATTGGTATGGGTTGCTGTTTCCTATTCCAGGGGATCTTCCTGACTCCAGGGATCGAATCCATGACTCCTGTGTCTCCTGCATAGGCAGGTGGATTCTTTACCACTCCACCACCTGGGAAGCCCTATAAGTCATTTAGGAAGACCTAATAAAAGACAACAGCATGGTAATATTTTTCCCCACTTTGGCCAAGAAAATTAAGAATGTCATGGCCCCTAAAATACTTAACTCAAAATAGATTTCTGCCTTCAACCAGGAAAGAGCAATAAAAAGTAGACTTAGCCTCTTCCAACTAAAAAACTAGACAAAATATATGCAGCAACTGTTTTCAGGCAGCACAGGACTCCAATCCCTGAGAGAAGAGAAACAAATACAGTGAGCCCTCTGATCACCTGGAGGCAATTTCCAGACCATGGGGAAAACAGATGAAAACCAAACACAGCCTGGAAGCTCTGACCTCAATTTGTGAGTTTAGGAGGAGGTCAGAATTTGGAAAGTCTGAGACAGCTGGAAGCTGTGATGCAGGATTCTGGAATAAAATGATTTATGCAGAAACAGAGCTCCATAAATCTATGTAGGGTCCACTTGAGTCTTTGCTGAGTAACAGACTGTACAGACACCAAGAGACATTCCAAAGACCTTAGCAAAGAACGATGGCAGTGTTGTTAGCTGAACAATTCCTAGAGCCAGAGAAGGCACAGAGACATTCTGAACCCAGACCAGTTAGGAGTAGAGACCTATTAGTGATCACCTGGAGCATTTGGTGGAGACCCCAGAGAGGTCACACATTAGAATTGGGGCTGACCTATCTCTAGACTGAAGGTACTAAAGACTCTAGCAAAGCTTGAATACAAGCCTCAAAAAACTGAAGCTAACCCACAAGTAAAGTGCCTGACAACAACAAAATGCTGAAACATATAATACCACAATGTCCAGCACCCAATCAAAAACATCCAGACGTGCCAAAAAGCATAAAAATATGACCCATAAATAGGAGAAAAATCAGTCAACAGAAGCAGGCATAAAAATGGCGGAGATGTGATAGAGATATAAAACTATGTACAGGTATTTAAAGAAAGACAAGAACATAATAGAAATATGGAAGACTTAAAAAAGAACCAAATGAAACTTTAAGGATAATGTGAAACAGATCATCAGTCCAGGTTTGATGCATGGGACAGGGCGCTCAGGGCTGGTGCACTGGGATGACTCAGAGGGATGGGATGCAGAGGGAGGTGGGAGGGGGGTTCAGGATGGGGAACACATGTACACCCATGGCTGATTCATGTCAATGTGTGACAACAACCACTACAATATTGTAAAGTAATTAACCTCCAATTAAAGTAAATAAATTTTTAAAAAAAGAAACTTTAAGGATAAAACATACAATATATATTTTCACAATTTCACTGGATTGGATTAATTGCAGAATAGACACCAGAGAGGCAAAGATTAGTGAGCTTAAATCTAACCAACCCAAATTACAGAGTTTTTTAACTAACTGAAAAAAATGAAAGGGGCTCAGTAAACTACAATATAATATCAAGTGGTCTAACATCATGTACTCGGAATGTCATATTAGGAGAGGAGACAACATATCTAAAGAAATAATGGCAGGAAATTTCCCAAATTTGGTGAAAACTATAAACCGCTAGGTCTAAGGAGTTCCATACACTCCAAGAGGATAAGTATACGCCTGTATGTGTGCACACACACCACCACTACCACCACCTCCTCAAGGCTCATCTTAATAAAAGTGCTGAAAGTCCACAATAAAGAGAAAAATTTTTAATCAGAGGAAAAAGCACATTAAGTATTCAAGAAAAAAAATAACTGAAGAATTCTTCTCAGAAGCTCTGCAAGCCAGAAGACCATCAAACAACCTCTTCAAAGGACTGGAAGAAACTGTAATCCTATTCTATTCTAGAATTCTATTCCAGTGAAAGTATCCTTCAAAGATGAAGTTGAAAATAAAAGTTTTTCTTAATAAAAGAGCAAAAGCCAAGAAAATTCAGCAGCAGCAGAACTGCAGTAAGAGACTTGGTAAAGGAAATTATTCAGGCAAAAGGAGATTATACAAGATGGAAACTTGGATCTGCCCAAAGAAATGAAGTGTCAGAAATGTTAAGTATGTGTGCTAATAGAAAAAAAAAAACAACCTTTTCTAACTTTTAAAGTTCTCTAGAAGATGGTTGTTTAAAGTAAAAATAATAAAAAATGTACTGTGAAGTTTATTATAAAAAAATAAAAGTTGTATGATAATAATAGCACAAATGATGGGAGAGCTGAAATGGAAAAGTACTACTGTAAGGTCTTATGATTAAATGGAATAATGTTATTTAAACGTATACTGCAATAAGTCAAAAATGCATACTGTAAACTTTAGAGCAGGAGTTCTCAAAACACGATCCAGGAAACCAAAGGCTTGCCTCAGACCTCCTCTGGGGTAACAAGGTCAAAATTATTTTTATAGAAAATACCCAGATGCAATTTGCCTTTTTCATTCTTGTTCTCTCACAAATGTACACTAGAGGTTTCCAGAGGTGACATAATATGTGCTATCACGACAGATAATATAGAAACAGATATGAGAGCCAGATAAGAGAAATCTTAAAACTTTACCAAAAATGTAAAACAACACCACTCTTCTCACTAAATTTGTTTCAGAAAACATGGTTTTTCAATGGAAAGTGTTATGTATGCTACTATCTAAGAGGCTTTCGACATTGTTTTTTAAAGAGTTAGTATTTTTAATTTCTCAATTTTAATTTCTAGTAAGTATCAACAGTGTAATTAAATTAAAGCTCTACAGGATATGTTCTCTGACCATATCAGAGTTAAACTAGAAATCAATAGTAGAAACGTATTTGGAAAATCTTCAGAAAGTAGGAAACTAAACAACACACTTCTAAATACCCTCTGGGTCAATGAAGAAATCACACAGGAAATTAGAAAATATTTTGAACTGAATGAGAATAAAAAACAGAACACATCCAATTTATGAAATGCAGCTAAGTGTATTTTGAGTGAGGTTTTTAGCTTTAAATGCTTATACCAGAAAATAATGAGCCAAAATCAATGATCTACACTTTCATCGTAATGGCTAGCAAAAAAAAAAGAAAGAAAGCAAAGTAAACCCAAAGTAGAAGTAATAAAAAGTTAATGAAATAGAAAATGAACAAATTTTTGGAAAGCAATGAAATCTTAACAGTAAAATTGATAAACCTCTTGCAAGACTGATTCAGATTTTAAAAAGAAGACAAAGTACTACCAGAAATGAAAGAGGGAATACTACTAAAGACCTTGCAAACATTAGAAAGTTAATAAGGTGCTATTACTAACAACCTTATGCCAAGGAATTTGACAACAGAGAGGAAACAGACACCATTCTTCAGACACAACCAGTCAAAATAAACTGGAAGAAAAAGGTAACCTGAATAGCTGTATAGGAATTAAAGAAATTGAATATGTAACTTAAAATCTTTCTTCAAAGAAAGCGTCAGGCCCAGATGGGTCCAATGAGAAATTCTACCAAAGTTTTAAGGAATAATATCAGTTTTTAAAAGCCCATCACTTACTTGGGTGATGTGCCTTTCACAATATTTAAATTATTTTCTAAATTCTAACTCAACCTCTTCCCAAGAGGCCATGAGTAGCACATACTAAGATCATTAACTGATGCTATAAATATCTCATATTTGCAAGCAAACTAAACAAATTCTTTGGGAAGATGACTGAAAATAGCTGTGGAAAAATTCATCCCCTAAATCATGCAATTGTTTTTTATTTTTTGCTTTTAGTCATGACCAAAAGGCATTTTAAGAAATAAGACCTGTTACAAAGTCAAATACAGTATTTGACTGTATTCATTGAAGGTGGTGTCAATAGTTATTTACATACTGGAAAAATGCTATAATAGTCTTCTATAAATATTAACATGCTAAAATATAATTAATCACACAGAGATTGTAAGTCTGGGAAAGCTCTATTTAAAACCCCAAAAGTGGTCTCAAGTTGGAGAAAAACATTAGCACATTTAGGCAAGACTTTAAGATCATAAATATTTTAATGTATAAACACCTATAAATCATAGTCTACAGAAGGTATGACAAGGACAGAAAGTTTCCATGAATTGCTTCACACCTTGTCTCAGATCAGTGGCCAGCACAGGCTTGAAAGAGCCACACAAAACCTCTGTTCCTTTGGCCATATGTATTTAATTCCAATTTCAAGCTGAAACAGAAATAAAACACTGCCCCTAACACATTAATAAGTACCAGACTTGAAGAAATTATATCATATTTCAATGTTTAAGTAATTTCTCCCTATGCATATATTAAATAAGAATGCAGGAAAAGTTTAATAACTCTTTCTTCTAAAATAAAAGCTTGATAAGAAACTCTCTTCATTGCTCGTGAGAGTATAAATCACTACACACTGAAGAACTATGTATGGGGCACTATCAAAGTGGAAAATGCGCATTCTCTAAAAACCAAAATTCAATATATATTATATACATACACACACAAATACAAAAACCCAAGTTTATATACAATTAGAATGTACAAGAATATGCTTCTAGTAGTTTTTAAAAGGGAAGAGCCTAAAAGTCCATCGACAGGAGTACGCATGCGTAATTTGTGGTAAATTCATGCCAGAGTAATCACACAACAGTTAAAAGCAATGACCTAGAGCATGCATAGAATGATATCATTATATAACTGTTCAAAAGGACAGTATATATTGGTTTCTGGATAAATACCTAAGGAGTAAAAGTATAAAAATATGCAGAGTATAAATAAACACTATATTCTGGTAGGTGGGGAAGGAGAAAAAGGACATGAAATTCCCAAGGGACACATAGACGGCCTCTTCCCTGTAACAGCTGTTTGGTTTTTTGTTTGTTTGTTTTTTAAACAAGGCATACATGCATGCTTGAACACTTTATTTTGTGAAATATTTCTTTTATAAAGAAAAAGAAATTTTATCAAAACACTTGGCCTATAAGTCAATTTGCTTGCTTTTTCCACAATAGCCAAATGAGTAATTTTACCATTTCTAAAATGTTTATTTACCTACACCTACACAAGAATCCAGGGAGAAAACAAGGACTTGGTGTAAACTGCCAAAATACAAGTGAGCACGTCATAGCCAGAGCTAAGCAGAAAAGGCCATGATCAGGAGCAGCTGCCATGCTCTGAATTTCAGCACCTCTTTGACGGGCCAGGTGACCAGTTGTCCAGCCCTCCCCTTGGCTGCATTCTGAAGACCTGGGTAAGGAATCCGGGAGAACAAGGACCAGGGTTGGGGCACCGTACAGGTAACAGGTGTAAGAAATTATACTTAGGGTCTGGGGTTCTGACGCCTCCTTCCTGGCTCTGCATTTAGAAATAACTTCTCAATCCTTGAAAAGCATCAGAAATATGCATTAGGAAGGCTTGGGGGACTCAGTAAGGGTGCCTGTGGGTTTGTGTGGTTTTTATTTGGAAGGGTGGGAGGACAGAGTGAAGATGGACGGGGAGGTGAGAATTCCAGGGTTTCCAAGACCTCACCCCGAATTCGGAGGCCAGACGTTGGAGTCCGAATCGGGGCGGGGGCGCTGTAGGGGTCGTCCCAGCGGCAGTCAGGCGCCCACGGGGCCACTCACCTGTCAGGGGTGCCAGGCGAGGGGCAGGGAAGCGGGCGGTGGGCTGGGAGGGGTCGCAGCCGCTACACCTACAACCCGCTGAGGCTCGGAGGACCGGCCCCGCCCTCGCCCCGCCTCTCCCGCCTGTGACGTCAGTGCCCACGGACCACTCAACGGCCGCCGCTGCGGGCTCGCCGGCATTCGATTGGCCGGTGGAGAGAGAGAGGCGGGTGGTGGGAGCTTGAGGGAGGAGGGAAACCCGGCGGGAGGGTGATGGTTGCCATGGACGCTCTGGCGCCTAGTAACCACGCCTCGAGGCGGAAGGGGTGAAGGGGCGAGGGATTCCCGGCCAAATGTTGGTGGTCCATTCTAGGAATGCTGACAGGCACCCACATTTCCACCTGCTTCGCTCCATGAAGGGATTATCCAGCGAGCTTTCCGCACTTCCTCACTCTCAGGAAACGATTTGGAGCCTCTGTAAACAGGAGCCCTCGCTGTTTGGATAGGTCTGGGCCAGGTGTCTTACCTACATCAGTGTTCATCCATGCACCTTCCATTACATACTCAGGCTTGGAAAAGTTCATTGACTTAGGCAAAGACGAATCAAGTCTAGGCTCCCAGATCCTTACCAGCGCCCTGCCAGCGTCATCCTATTTTCCCATATTCCTTACCAGCTACTCTTTCTATATCTGGCCTAAGAAACAGTTACCCTGAGCTACGCTTTTTACTGGGCTTCCCTTGTGGCTCAGCTGATAAAGAATCTGCCTGAAATGCGGAAGACTGTGTTCGATCCCTGTGTTGGGAAGATCCCCTGGAGAAGGAAATGGCTACCCACTCCAGTATTCTGGCCTGGAGAATTCCATAGACTGTATAGTCCATGGCGTCGCAAAGAGTCAGACATGACTGAATGACTTTCACTTCACCCTTTTTACCGGGTGGCTCAGTGATCAAGAATCCACCTGCCAAGGCAGGACACACAGGAGACTCAGGTTCGATCCCTGGGTCAGGAAGATCCCCTGAAGGAGGAAATGACAATCTACTTCAGTATCCTTGCCTGGAGAGTCCCATGAACAGAGGAGCCTCATTTCAGTTCAGTTCAGTCACCAGGCCTCCCTGTTCATCACCAACTCTTGAAGGTTACTCAAGCTCATGTCCATTGAGGTGGTGATGCCATCCAACCATCCCTCTGTCATCTCCTTCTCCTCCTGCCTTCAATCTTTCCCAGCATCAGGTCTTTTCAAATGAGTCAGTTTTTCACATCAGGTGGCCAAAGTATTGGAGTTTCAGCTTGAGCATCAGTCCTTCCAATGAATATTCAGGACTGATTTCCTTTAGGATGGACTGGTTGGATCTCCTTGCAGTCCAAGGGACTCTCAAGCATCTTCTCCAACACCACAGTTCAAAAGCATCATTTCTTTGGCGCTCAGCTTTCTTTATTGTCCAACTCTCACATCTATACATGACTCCTGGAAAAACCATAGCTTTGACTAGATGAACCTTTGTTGACAAAGTGATGTCTCTGCTTTTTAATATGCTGTCTAGGTTGGTCATAACTTTTCTTCCAAGGAGCAAGCATCTTTTAATTTCATGGCTGCAGTCACTATCTGCAGTGATTTTGGAGCCCCAAAAATAAAGTCTGTCATGGTTTCCACTGTTTCCCCATCTATTTGCCAGGAAGTGATGGGACCAGATGCCATGATCTTAGTTTTCCGAATGTTGAGCTTTAAGCCAACGTTTTCACTCTCTTCTTTCACTTTCATCAAGAGGCTCTTTACTTCTTCACTTTCTGCCATAAGGGTGGTGTCATCTGCATATCTGAGGTTATTGATATTTCTCCCAGCAATCTTAATTCCAGCCTGTGTTTCATTCAACCCAGCATTTCTCATGATGTACTCTGCATAAAAGTTAAATAAGCAGGGTGACAGTATACAGCCTTGACATACTCCTTTCCCTATTTAGAAACAGTCTGTTGTTCCATGTTCACTTCTAACTGTTGCTTCCTAACCTGCATACAGATTTCTCAAAAGGCAGGTCAGGCGGTCTGATATTCCCATCTCTTCAAGAATTTCCCACAGTTTATTGTGATCCACTCAGTCAAAGGCTTTGGCATAGTCAATAAAGCAGAAGTAGAAGTTTTTCTGGAATTCTCTTGCTATTTTGATGATCCAGAGGATGTTGGCAATTTGATCTCTGATTCCTCAGCTTTTTCCAAATCCTGCTTGAACATCTGGAAGTTCTCGGTTCACATACTGTTGAAGCCTGGCTTGGAGAATTTTGAGCATTACTTTACTGGTGTATGAAATGAGTGCAATTGTGCAGTAGTTTGAGCATTCTTTGGCTTGCCTTTCTTTAGGATTGGAATGAAAACTGACCTTTTCCAGTCCTGCGGCCACTGCCGAGTTTTCCAAATTTGCTGGCATATTGAGTGCAGCACTTTCACAGCATCATCTTTTAGAACTTGAAATAGCTCATCTGGAATTCCATCACCTCCGCTAGCTTTGTTCGGAGCAATGCTTCCTAAGGTCCACTTGACTTCACATTCCATGGTGTCTGCTCTAGATCAGTGATCACACCAACATGATTATCTGGGTCGTGAAGATCTTTTTTGTATAGTTCTTCTATGTATTCTTGCCACCTCTTTTTAATATCTTCTGCTTCCGTTAGCTCCATACCATTTCTGTCCTTTATTGTGCCCATCTTTGCATGAAATATTTCCTTGGTATCTTTAATTTTCTTGAAGAGATCTGTACTCTTTCCCATTCTATTGTTTTCCTCTTTTTCTTTGCACTGATCCCTAAAGAAGGCTTTCTTATCTCTCCTTGCTATTCTTTGGAACTCTGCATTCAAATGGGTATAGCTTTCCTTTTCTCCTTTGCAGAGGAGCCTGGCGGGCTACATGGTATCAGAGTTGGACATGACTGGGCACACAAGCACCCTTTCTATTGCTTTTCCCATGCACAGTGTGTTGCATCTTGTATTAATCCTCAGAACTCTGGATGGGCCTTGCTGATGCCTCAGGCTGTGGATGAAGTCATCGCCACCAGCCAAAAGGCCTGCAGCAGTCGTGAAACAGCCTGCAAACTCGTTGAAGATGATACTCAACCTCTGTGCCTGCATACAACAAAATGCCCAGTATCATTGCTAACTGAATATCAAAATCAGTCAATGTCTGATTTTAAAATAAATAGGAAAAACGATAGCAGATTCAGTCTTTTTTGTGATACTTTGAATCACTGAACTTTAAAACTTCCTGATTGTTGGTCAATTCTGATCTCCGCAGAAATAACTGGATGATTTCTTAAAATACCTTAGAAACCCTCCCTTCAAAAAATTGTTCCATGATTATCAAGGCTTTGCCAGAATTAAGAGGTTAGTTATCTCACTCTTTAGCTTTATTTTACAATAGACACCTTATAACTGCTTATTTTTCTCTGTTTATAAAGAGAATAAAGCTAAACAATCTGCATTCTGTGATTCTATCTCACTCTTCTCAGCTGCTCCAGAAACTCGGGGGTATGTCTGTTTCTTTTTCATTCCTGTGTCTGCAACATGTGGCTGTTTCTTTTTCATCCCTGTGTCTGCAACATGTGGCTTAGTCCCGCCACACAGGAGGTGTTTTGTTTTGTTTTTTTGGTTAAGTGAAAGGATGTGTGTGATGATTAGCAATAGGAGATCATCAAAGGTCTGGAGTAGAAGCAATAAAGCCGATCGCGCCTGTTTTTTAACTTTACTCAAGGAACACACTGCTTGAGGCCCTCTCTGTCTCTGACTTCCTTATCTGCTATGTTTCATCCCCTCAGCCCCATAACCACCCAGCCTCCACGCTTGTCTCTCTGGGGCTTCCCATCACTCAGCCCATTATTCTTTCTCAAAGATGCTATCAGCCAGAGACATCCCTGGAGGTCCAGTGGTTAAAATTCCACCCTTCTACTGCTTGGGAGTTAGTGTAATTGAGATCCTGCCTGCCACACAGCAAGGCCAAAATAAATTTTTTTTAGTATTTTAATAAGATGCTATCAGCCCCTCCCCAGCTCTACTTCCCCATCAGAAACAACATGTGGTCCCTCCATCTTTACTCCTGAATCCCCAACATTGTCTCCACCCCCATGGCTGGCTCGCCCTTGGCCTGCTCCTCTGTTCCTCCTCTCAAACCCTGAGGTGTGCATTGCTTTAGATTTGCTATTACTGGACATCAGTGCCATTCCTGTTTGGTCTAAGATCTGATGCTACTCATTTGAAGTCTGTTGACTCAGTTCTCCCTAATTCACAAAGGACTATTGCCCTAAAACTCCCATTTCACCCATTTGCCCAAGATTCGTGGTAAATGGAAAGCTTAGCCTCCATCCCTGTGAAGCCCTGTTCATCACCCTCCATACTTCACTCTTCTGTCACTCACACCCTCATCATTAGAGAAAAGTGAAAGTATTTGTCGCTCAATCATATCCGACTCTTTGCAACCCCGTGGGATGCAACCCACCAGGCTCCTCCATCCACAGAATTCTACAGCAAGAATACTGGAATGGGTTGCCATGCCCTCCTCCAGGGGATCTTCCCAACTCAGGGATTGAACTCGAGTCTCCAGCATTGCAGGCAGATTCTTTACCATCTGAGCCACCAAGAAAGCCCTCATCCAATAAGAAAGGAAATTTTTCACAGAAGCACACTGCCTGCCTCCACTCAGATGTCTGAAATATCTCCAGCATTTTTCACTTTTCTTCCCTCAGGACTTTCCCTTCCACCTTCCAACACAACCCACCCATGGCTGGTACTGAATTAAGTCCCTGGGCGTTCCTGCTTCTCTGAGTTATTGACCTACACTGCCCTTCCTTGCCTTGTCAAATCCTTAAATAAATGATCTATATGCATGGCCTCTACATGGATTCCTGCCTGATCTCACAACTATCCCAGTCTCCATGGGCTCAAGGTCCATGTCTAGTGGTCAGAGTCTGTGTCTACATCCCTAGTCCAGTGGTCCAGCCTGGTTTGACACTCTGCATGCAGGAGAGCCAGCTGCCACAACCCTCCACTGGAACTTTCCTGGACTGTGAGCTCCTTAATCTATAATTGGGTATGGGATCCCAATGGGCTTCATGAACAGAATATAACACTAATATTTACAGAAAAGCTCTTTATGGAGGGTTTATTGGCAACTTGAGTGTGTGATGCATTCACGGAGAATTTTATCTTCTACAACAACAGAAAGGTAATAGCAGTTGTCACTGTTATGTTTTGCTTATGTTACTAGGTTATCTATAGGGGTGTGTTTTACCGTCAGCTTTTTTCATTGAATGACTTTTTTCATTGACATGAAATTGCAGGGCACTCCTTGTTGGGAATATGTCCAGGAAAGCCAAGGTACACAGACTCCATCAAGTTTAGATATCATATTCCAGCTCCCTTGCTTAGCAAGTGAGGAACTGTGTCCTAGAGGCTAAGTGACATGCCAGGGTCACATTTTTGTGTTGCTTTAGGATCAAGTAGAAAACAGTGGACACCACAGGGCCCTCACTCTTTATGTTCCCATCAGAGATGTGATCTCGTTGTATGTTTTCACATATTGCCTTCCATCAGACAGTGTCCCTGGGAGGACAGGGACAATATTCTTCAAGCCTTCATCACAGGAACCATTTTGAAGCACTCCCTCTGTGCCAGCTTCATACACATTCCCTATGACCTTCATCATAACCCCATAAAATTGATGACATGATCCCCCTTTGGCAGGGACTTTCCA